GGCTCTTTGCTTCTTGGTTTATTTTTCCCGTTTGATACTCCCCTTTCCGGCTTCTACTGTATATACGTTACTGCAGAAATGAAAACTCTCCTCACACTTCTGACATAGTCTTCGATGCCACATAATGGATACTTCATTCTCGGACAGTAATGGTATCGACTTGCTTGTAGAATATTGATCTGATTCCAGCCCTTTTGGTAGCATCTCTGATCGACTACGAAAAAAGAATGCAGGTTGCTGAGGCGCCGGCTTGGTAACAGAGTAACTATTAAGCATGAGCACCACAGATTCCATTGTAGGTCTTTGATTAACATCTTCTTGAACACATAATAATCCAATATGTATACATTGTATATCACTTCATTTCTTGAGTATGACTCTCCAAATGTTGGATCCATTATATTCAATCGTGTGCCGTCCCTCCAATTCTTCCAAACCTACAAGATTTATCGATCAAATGATTCAAAGTTAGCATCAGCAAGCGACTTATATATCTAGCAGAAGCTGCATTTATAACTTTAACCAAGAAAGTCATAAGCTATCTTTTTGTAACCAAGAAGTCACTCAACTTTGCGATCATAGAAAGTCACTAGTGGCGGCCAGGGGCAGATTTAGGGGGGTGGAAGGGGGTTCACACGAACTCTCTTCGCCGGAAAATTACACCGTACATATAAGGCAAAATCTATTTTGTGCCTATATATATTATATTTTGAATCCTCTGCCCAAAAACATAGCTCAGTGATCAAGGGGGTTCAAAACCTTTATGAGAATGCTGGTTTAGTTCCCACTGGCCATAGTCCTTTTTAATTTTTTAACTAATTCTTTTTTGAACCCCTTTGTGGAAATCCTGCCTCAGCCACCGGTGGCGGCAACACCTTCTTGTGCATGATTATAATTAGTGACTTAACGAGTTAACGTGATACATAGACAAAGTTGAGCGTTTCTATTATGAAAAGCAGTTTAGTGACTTCAGATGATACTTGCAAAAAGTTTAATTATTCTTTCCTTAATTTAGTGACTTTTTAATAAAATGAACGTTGACTGACCATCTATGAAATTTACCCTGAATGTGAACTTACATAGCTAAGAAGATCTTCAGCTCCATCTGATTGGTAAAATGAGCTGTTCTTCTTTCCACTTATGATCTCCAAAAGTAGAACACCAAAGCTGAAAACATTAGATTTAACAGAGTATTGTCCATGCATAGCATACTCCGGCGACATGTAACCGCTATAGTACAACAAACAATAAGAAATGTTAGCTAGAAAAAGGGTATTTTTAAAGGAAACCAGACCTTTAACAACTTCCAAATTATAAGTGGAAGTTACAAATGTGCCTATATATTCAATGATTCAATGGGCAATGTCAAAAGAGCAACATTAGAATCTAACTACACAGGAAAAGAGGATATATTAGCATAGCTAACTCAAAACTTACTATGTCCCAACAATCCTGCCTGTTATTTCTTCACTTTGATCAATTCCAAATATTCTTGCCATTCCAAAATCTGATGTTTTGGGATTCATATCTGCGTCTAACAATATATTGCTTGTTTTGAGATCACGGTGTATAACTCTTAGACGCGAATCCTCATGAAGGTAAAGTAGTCCACGCGCAATCCCTCCTATAATCTTGTAACGTCGAGACCAATTCAGTAGCTGCTGCTTTTCAGGATCTAAACATTTATCAGAAACAGAGTTATGTTTAGGCAAAAAGGTGTAAATCTCGGAATCAAGAAAACTAGCAGTGACAACTTGAACTACCTCTTAATGATCTGAAGAAATCACTCTTTGTAAAATGTTGCATGTAAGTAGCATAAGCTAGATTTTCACTAGATTAAGTAAATGCATCTTTGTGATAGATAGGCCAAAAAAGGAAAAAAAGACTGTTCGTGTACTAAGCTCCGGCTATATGTGCGGTTCGAGGAAGGATCATATAACATTGGATCTACATACACTCTTACCTTGAATTTTTGCAAGAGGCTATTTCTTTCCCTAATAAGTAATTTTAGCAACAAACCCAGTGTTATCCCACAAGTAGGATCTGTGAGGGTATTGTGTACGCAGACCTTATCCTTACCTTGTGAAGGTAGAGAGGTTATTTCCGGTAGACTATCGGCTCAAGGAAAGCATAGTCGCATCAGTGTTGAAAGCAATACGGTAGTGTAGAAGCCATGGAAAAAGAGCCAGTAACAATAGCAAGATAATAAGGAAATAAGATAGCCGAAGCAAAAGAAACAATTAGTAGTAACAAAACTCTAAGAATATGAAAGAATGAGAATACTATTCATACTACTGGCATGGAACATTTTAGCAACAGGAAGAATAAAATGAATATTAGCAAATTGAAAGTTGAAACTAACCAAATAAGAAATAGTCAAGGCTTTTGTTGGGGACAAATTCATAGACAAGTAGCTTTTCCTCTGCTTCAAAGCAATATCCCAATAGTCTCACTTAAAAGCTTCGCGATCAATATGATCTCATTCTTAAATTCTTGTGCACCTTGCCCTGAACTTCTCGATAGCCTCTTCACAGCTATCTCTTGTCCATTAGGAAGTATACCCTGAGTGTGTAATAAGATATCAAATTATCAATGCAAGTTAAGAATATAATGGAAGATGGACTTAATTGGCAATATTTGGACGTGTTTGGTACGACAGAAGTCATTATCGAAGAAAAATAAATGAGGGAAGTCACAACAGAAAATGACTCTCATGGAAAATATTGTTATGGAAGAAAAACTTCCGTCGTAGCAAATATTAGGATAAAAATAATCAGGTATCATACGGAAGCTAGTAAAGCAAACTTTGAACGATGATAAATCAGACAACAAAAGAGACACAAACATTTAACGTGGTTCGGTCAATTGACCTACATCCACAAGTGGAGATGAGCAATCCATTATATAAAAGAGAGTACACAATATCGAGAGAACAACCTCACAAAGAGGCAAACACAAGTAACATAACATGCTAACACTTGTCCTGAAATTCTCTCCCTAAACAAGACACTTAAACTCCTTAGAGACTATTCTGTGGATGCTACTGAATGAGAATGAATGATATATCCTTAATTTATAGAAGTTAAAATATTTTCCTCCAAGAAAAGGACTAATTAAATATGAGGTAATTATAATTTTCTTTTCGTAAAACGTAAAATCAATTATGTTAAATATGTTGTACTTCTTTCGAAGAATACGAAAATCAAATATGGAAAGAAAATCGGGACAAACACCTAACAGCAAATACACCCCTTGTGTTCTAAAACTGAATTCACCTTGTAAACAACACCAAATCCACCTTCACCAATTTTGTTGTCGGCTGAGAAGTTAGTCGTGGCAGCTTGAATAGTGGTAAACTGATATTGCAGGGATTCAGCAGTTGAAATTTCATTTTCATCTGTACAAACAAATAAATTCTCGGGGTTTCAGCAGCAGCTACTTTGATTACTTTTATTTACAGTATTACTAAAAAACTGTAATTAGTTACAAATTTCATCGCTAATCTATCGCTAAATTGCTCTAGTTTTGTGGGACGAGAATTGTTCTAGTTATGCCAATTACCTGTCATATGTTAGCCAACAGAAACCAAAAATTAACAGTAGAACACTACTAAAAATCCGGAAAAAAACGACCACAAAAAGCGACCAGTGTTGGTCGCTTATTGGCCAAAAAGCGACCAAAAAGCGACCAAACGTGCCTGGTCGATATTAAGCTGGTCCCTTTACCTTAGGTACCAAAGTTGGTCGCTAATTAGCGACCAACTTTGGTCTCTCAAGTCAAAGGACCAAATATTCCGGTAAAGACCCTGGCGACCAACTTTGGTCGCTATATTATTTTAATATTATAAATTTTGCTACCAAAGTTGGTCTCCTTTTTGTAAATTTCGTTTTTTTTATTTATTTATTAATTATGAAGTAGCGACCAACTTTGGTCTGTATATGAAATATTATATTTTAAAATCTGAAAAATAGCGACCAATGTTGGTCGCTATACTATAAATTTTTTAATTATTTTTTTAAATAAGCGACCAAACTTGGTCACTAAATACATGAATTAATTTTTTTATTTATTAATAAGCGACCAACTCTGGTCGCCATATTTCCANTAAGTAGTGTAGAAAATGAGAGAGATGACTTGATGGTAGTGGTTGTTGATTTGAAGGAAACCATAGAAGGCTTTAGCAATGAAAAGCACACTCTCGAAGAGAAAATTGTTGCTACTAAGCAAGAGAGGGATGACTTTTTAGTAATAATCACTGACCTAGAGGAAACTATTGAGAGACTCAAATCAGAACTTAGGCCTCCAAGTATTGAGAAAGGGAATGAAGTAGCCAGTGAGTCACACATCAAGATGAAATGGAATTGAATGATGTTAAAACTAGTCTATGTGGTGAACTTGAGAAAAATAGGCAGCTTCAAGCTGAACTAAAAAGGGTAAAAATTGATCTTGAGAAATCTCTGAAGTGGACCTGGTCCTCTGATGCTGTTACTCCATGTACTTCAACAATAGTGTAAACAGGCAGGGAATCCGGTTTTAAAAGGAGAAAACTCCTTACAACCCTCATAGCAAGTATGTCATAGTTCCTGATAACTGGCTTTGTACCCACCGTGGGAACAATGGGCACTTCAAAGAAAATTGCCAAGCCAGGTTTCAATCTGTTCAGAAAAATAAATTGTTTTCTGACAAAGTGACCACTAAAAAGGGACAAGGTACCACTCGCAAAAATCGCATATTGCCTGCATAGACTAGAAAGGCTCTTATCCACCCTTTTCCTCATTACAAGGGACCCAAACTAGTTTGGGTTCCAAAATCTAACCCATAATTGAGATGTGCAGGGAATAGTGAGAGGAAGCGGACTGCAATGGATCATGGACAATGGATGCTCAACGCAAATGACTGGAAACACCATGGATTTTCTCTCACTGAAAGCCCTGCAAGGAGGGGATGTACCCTTTGGAAATGGAAAGAAGGGGTACATTCTAGGTATCGGGAAGAAAACAAGGTAGAAGTTCGTGTCCAAGCTGGTGATATAAGCTGCTTGAATACAGTTGATAATGATTCGAAGACTTGGCATAAAGGATTGGGGGCATACAAGCATCTCACTTCTGGATAAGTTGATGAGGAAGGACCTGGTCCATGGTCTGTCAAATTCAATGTTCAAAGAAAATGGAATGTACAATGTATGTGCTAGAGGAAAACATGTGAGATCATCCTTTAAGCCGAAAAAGGGATGTCATCACACCGAAACCATTTGAACTCCTTCATGTCAACATGTGTAGTCCTATAAGAACACTGAGCAGGAGTGAAAAGAGGTATATCTTTGTGATTGAGGATGACTACTCAAGATTTACTTGGACACTGTTTTTTAGGACAAAAGATGAGACTCCGAGGTATGTGTGACCTTTGTCAAGAAAATCTAGTTGAAGATAGGATTGAAAGTAGCTTACATCAGATCTGACCCTGGAACAAAATTTGACTACGCAAGGACTCCACAGAAAAATGTTGTTGTTAAGAGAAAGAACAAAACTCTGGAAAACATGGCACTGACAATGTTCACTGTCAGTGGAATAGCAAAAATTTCTGGACAGAGGCAATAAACACTGTGTGCTACTTGATGAACAGGTGCATGATCAGATCTCTCCTGAACAAAACCCCATATGAGTTGCTGACTGGAAGGAAACCCAAGCTGACTCACCTAAGAATATTTGGGTACAAGTGTTATGTTCTCAACAATAGAAAGGATCAGCTTGGTAAATTTGATGCCAAGAGTGATGAAGGAATATTTCTGGGGTATTCTTCCCAAAGTAAAGCTTACAAGATATACAACAAGCGGACACAATGTATGGAAGAAAGTAGTCATGAGCTGTTCAACAAGACTTCTTCTAACAAGGGAGGAAACAGTAATGATCAAGATAATGAACCACTTTTTGTTCCTGGGAGATATCTGATGTTGCAAATGGCAAGGGTAATATGATGACTCAGATGAAGGAGACAGGTAAAGACAATGAAACTTCTTCCTTCACTTCTCAAAAGGAACCTGGTACTTTGATTGTTATCATCTAAAGCTGAAGAAGGAGTTGGAGATGTAGTGCAAGAGACTTCACAAGTAGCAGAACAAGAAGTGCAGGGAAACGCACTCAGTTCCTCTACAAATTAAAATCTCAGCTCCCATGAGGAAATGCACCGTTTTGAAGGGAACAAAGTTATCTGACGGTCAAGAAGAGCACATCTGGAATGACTCATTCGACTAGTTCATCTCATGGGATACGAGGAAATACAACCCAGCGATTCTCTCAACAGCTGAAGCAGACGCTCTTAACTTGGAAAAGAACCTGGTCCATCAAGAGGATCAAACTCATTGATGTCTACATTTGTCTCAAAAAATAATGTAAGGGGAAATTATCTATATGAGACTTTGCTACACAAGAACATCAAGTTGCAGATATCTTCACCAAAGGCAGTAAGCGAGGAACATTTTGGAAGAAACAGGGTGAAGCTGGGGATGTTGAAGCCTAATTGAGAACCGGATACCTCATCAATTGGCTATGAAAATCTCTTTCAGGTAAAACTAGCTAAAGTGTTTTCTGGCCAAGTCAAACTCACATCGATACCGTTGCAGGTAGACACGCATGACGACTATAGAAGCTAAAGGTACAATGATGAACTGCGAAAGAAGAGCTGCTAAAACCTTTTTCAAACCGTTCGAGCATCAGGTTCCTGTACCACAGGTTAGTAGTAATGTGTTGTCTTGCATGCCTTCTAAAAAGGGTTAACAAAATTAATTCAACTGCCACATCATCCGACTTTTCAAAGTCTGCATGTCCTGTCTTGTCTTTCAAATCCCTTCACCTCCTCTGCACGATAACATTTTCCCACAAACCTACCGCCGTTTTCAAAACCCTTCAGAACCCGTTTCTCTCTCTTTTCATCATTAGCTCTTCTTCCCATAAAACTCTCTTTCTCTTTCACAGCAAGTCATGAACCTTCATCTTTTGTGTTTCCCTGTGATCCTCTCCTTATTTCTTTTTCACTCAACTTCCTTACCAAATCCTCCTACGATGGCAATCGAACGATCGCTCCCTTCTTCCACCATTAACACCACTCTCACTCCCTCATCATCCTTAAAATCATTACCAGAAATTCACTCTTCCACTTTTCCCAATGCTACTACACCTACACCTGGTCCCTCCTCACTTGTTATTGTCTTTTCTTCTCTATCAACCTCTGTCTTCCTTCCATGTGTTGAAAACCCCATGTATTCTCACTCCTCTGATCTCACAAAAGAACACTCAGGAAGTGTTCCCTCTCAAGTGTCAGAGGTCTCTGAGGATGATCCTAATCAGTATCTGAACTCCTCTATTTTGGACTCAGTGGCTCTCACAGAGTCACCAGAAAAGGAAGCAGCTCACAATATCATGGCTATTGCTGCTGAGAGTCTGTTGAATGAAGGATCCTATCCCTTGTCTGAGTATCATGGGGAAGATACTCCATTCCTAGGTGATGAAAGAACCACGGTACTCTTCGAGTCTCTTGTCCATGAAACGGTCACAGGAAAACTTGTTGAAGGACCTGATTCTCTTCCAGATAAATCAACTCAGGAACCTCTTGTTTATCCTAAACCCTTAGAATTCTCTTCCAAGTCACCCACTTACAGGTTGCAGCAGAAAGAGGCTTTCGAGTCTACCTTGCAGAAAGGTAAGAAGAGTGTCAAAACAAAAAGGAAGAGGTCGATGAAATAAGGGGAGGTTGTGACAAACAAAAGTATTCCAGTGGCTGAAGTTGACAAGGATGCTCTAGAAGAACCTAGTTCCTTAGTAATAGGATCTCTAAAAATCCAGAAGTCTGTAGATGGAGCTTCCGATGAAGCTATTGAAAAACAAAGTGAAACATTCGTGAAGGGCAGTAGTAAGTCTAAGAAGAGTGTAGCTGAGCAGGCTATGTCTGAAGGAGATACTGTGGGGTTTGTAAGTTGGAAAGGGAAATCTGTTGAAGAATCTAGAAAACAAAAATGGGAACCTGTAGGGGAACCTGGTTCTCTGAAGACCATACCTAGTAACAGTGGTCTTTGGTAGGAGAGATTGAGAACTCAGAAAGTCTTGTGGGGTCGTATGTTTGATCCGGCAATCTCAGAAATGGCAGGTATAGGCAAATTCTGGAGATAGTGGAATTTCAACAATAGGAGCACTTGTTTCAGGAGAACATGCCTATAGTGTACGAAGATGTGGTACAAAATTTCTACGCATCTCTTTTCACTGTTGAGGGGGATCACATCTGTGTGCTAGTAAATAGAGTAGACATTGTACTTGATGCTTCAGCATTGGGAAAGGTTCTCAAAATTCCCTGTGAAGGAATGTCCCCTGTCAAAGGTGTATGTGGTGCTAATTTTAGGAGAGCTATCATGAAAGAGCAAGCTATTCAGTAGGGGGAACAGGTTCATAAGAAAGTTCTACTTCCTGAGTATCAACTTCTCTTTGAGCTGGTTAATAAGGTGCTTCTACCTCGCTCTAAGAGGCGGTCTATTGCTACAAAGTCTGATCTGGTTCTAATGGAAGCTCTTGATGAGTTTGT